TCTGGCTCTTTTTTTTTTTTTTTTTTTTTTTTTTTTTTTTTTTTCGCGAAACAGCCTTTGAAAAGTGGGACAACAAATCCGCGAAACAGCCTTTGAAAAGTGGGACAATGGCAGGCATTAGTTTTCGAGGGATAACCACTTTTTGAAGAGGCACTTGCCGCGCCAACGGCAAAAGCGAGCGAAAGAAGAAAGCCAGAAAGCCCGAAATCCCTAAGTATTCAAATAAACAGAACTGGACTGGCATACGGCACGGTCACTTGGCGCGATTCGACCACTAGACGAACACCAAGTCGAGCTCGCGCTTTTATCCCTCGCAAATTAAGGCAAATTCGCGTGGCGAAACGGAGCCTATAAACCAATTACCCAAGTGCCAGCCAACAAGCTCGACTTAAACGGCTCGCGATATTCCACGTGCCCGCCAATATTCGCCCCCGCAGTCTTAGCGGAGCTCCGAGGCCGTGCATTTGCAGCGACGCCCTCAACCTTAATGGCACTAGCTGGCAAAAATGAGCGACCCGTGAATAAGAATCGAGAAGAGAGGTGTTTTTCCGCCATGAGGCACACGCGCCTTCGTTACTAGTGTCGCATGTGCGTATGGGCGAGTGGTGTGAGGGAGCGAGAGGCCATCATAACTCATAGCTGGAAGCACGAAACTCGCTGGAATCCGAAGACGCGGTTTCGAAAGCATCCACGCTAATCATTATTTCGTAGTTGTACATTTTCATGGGATGTCGGCTGATCGCCTTCTACGTCAAATGGAATCGCTCGCGCGATCGATAACTAAACGAGATGCTCAAATTTGTTACTTATGACATTCCGTTATTGCTTATTATCGTTACGAATGACTTAAGAGAAAGTGATTCCCAGGCGGAGGAAGTAAGTGCGATATTTCTAAGGAGTTTTTCCTATGTAATGGAATAATGATATTGTTAATGGCAAAAATTAGAAGCATTAGGCATCATTGATCACTGCAAGATTTACATGTATTATTATTTATTATAAACAAAAGCTCACTTTCGTATACTAAATTTTATTTGAAAGTCGTGAATAAGAATATTAGTTATATTAAAAAAAAAAAAAAAAAAACAGCAGAAAGGGGAAAAAGACTCAATACGTTGACACGTAAAATGTAACGAGTGAAATTCATGAATTGTCTTTCTTTATGGATGAAAGAGATTATTAACAATGCGATATAATTATAAACACATTCGTGAATAATTGATATTATTTAAGGAATCAGTTTCCATGGTGCAATGTTAATTACGAATTCTTGCTTACAAGAATTGCATAACATAATTTACGAATAGTTATCCTTGATTGGTTAATTATAGATCTCGCCTGGAATGCCATATGGAACATAAAATCTAACCATATAGAGGCAATATATTTGAATTTATTCGAGCAGCATAAAACTATTGATTAATTTGAAAATTTATTCGACCAATAGGATGAATTTATTATTCCAAAAAGCCGTATATGTATAACTATGCCTATAAAGTAAAAAAAAAACATTATTTATAAAGTTCGATCGGTAGATAAATAACGAGAAATCGCGCAATCAGGCTTCTTTAAATATAATTGAACAAATAGATATATATATATATATATATATATATATATATATGCGCTTTTCGTTTATGACCCTCGGGATACGCGGGCATTATTACCATGAAAAATTGCAAAATCATTGGTTTCCAATAGTGGACTCCCGCGAAATCACAATGCTTATACCGCAATCGTTGCATTAACTTTGTAAATACGATAGGTTTTGCCGATAAGGCACGGATCGACAGGTCGAGCTCGCCATCTCCTACGTCACTCGGCCCGAGACCCCAAAACACAAAAGCAACTACGAGACAAGCATAAATATATCATAGAGCTCGACTTTCTTAACAATAGAGAGAAGACGTTCGACGTCGGCCGATCGCGCGCTTTTTACAAGCAGCACCGCGAATAAATTTCATCAGTCGCAGAAATTGAAGTACTTAGTCCTCGATCCTCGGTCGCCTCGTGGTGGCGAGAGCCATCGGTCTCGAGGACTCGGCCTCCCAGGCGCCGCCGCATTCCAGCGTCGAAGGCCATTGACTCGGGTCCCCGCCCACGCGTACCACCTCTCCCCTCCCCCATTACCCCGTGCCCGATACTATTTTTCACACTCGATTTACGCATCAAAACCGCAGCCTTCCTTGTTTTTAATGCGTCTCTCTCGCGCTTTCCTCCACATGACCGCGACGCCCATTTCCACCGAGGCGATCGTCGAGCCTCGAATCGGCATTAATATCCCGGTAAATTAGTGAAGAGAGCGATGAGGAAATGGACCTGTGACCACCAAACGGCCGCTGATTTATCGTCAACGGTGTTTCGACAGCGTCTCGACAGCGCGGGCGGATGTGCCGCCGCAGGTAGCAATCGCCCGGACTAGAAGGCCCACCGGCTCATTTTCTCGGAAGCGTGGCCAAGTAGCGGACCGTTCGTAAAAGCCACAAGTCGCCGGGGGAGGCTATCTCGGGTGGCCCCCTTCCCTCGCCCCGGAGCCAACGCCCTCGGTGCCCCTTCGTCACTCGTTAGTAGAGTCGCGCGGGTCGTCATTTCCCACGAGGAAAATCCACCTCCACCTTAAGTACGCGCATAATTATGAAAAACCCATAAGCAGGTGGAAATGCAATAGCACCAACGGTCGTGCGCTTGCGCGTGCACGTATAATGAATTCGCCGGGTTAATTGCCATGGTTTTGTTACGTCTTTGTAATTGGTAACGTATGGCGGTGCTCGCGAATCTCCACGGCATCGCCCCGATGATCTTCTGATTTTTCGTCGCGCCGCCGAGGCTAATTTTCAGGCGCTTCAAGACGCTCGCCTCGACCAGGCTTCAGCGGCCGCTCGCCCCAAGACGACTGCGCTACGGCTTCGGGAGCTTCGCTGCGCTTCATCTTGGTGTATCGCGGGGGCGGAGTCAGGCGAGGGCCAGAGAACGTTTAAATGGATTGACTCGGTCTACATCTGTGCTCTAACGCTAGAGAGTTACGAGTGGCCGAACTGCGATGTCGTGTGTTTCTCGCGCCGCTTTACATACATTTTCTGTCTCCCTCTCCCCCTCATTTTCATGTTCTTTTTCTGTTTTCTATTTTCTTTTTTTTACTTTTCATTGGAGGAATGATGCTCCTAATGGACGATTTACTTGTTCTCTTAGCACGCTATAATAAATTTTAATACGGTAATTTAAATATGAGAATAAATAAAAAAAAAAATCTCGTGACTCGTGGCCGTCGATGTTCGATACGCTGATAAACCCGTTAGACCGGCACGTCATTTACATTATAATTATCAAATGGGCGAAACGCAAGGAGCTGCGATATAGGATTACACGTTTACGTTGCTAAGCTTCGTATCTCTGTGCGTGCGTGCGTGCGTGCGTGCGTGCGTGCGTGCGCGCGCGCGTGTATGTAAACATATATTTTTTTTAAATCTCACAACAGCGATCTATTATAAAAGATTTCGTTTGAAGGGTACCAAGCGAACGATTAATAATGATAAAAGGCGTGTATATCCCTACGCCCCGCTATGATGTGGTGGAAAATACATATAACCGCTTGTAATGGAATGGGGAGGACTCACACCAGCTGCTGACTCGAATAAATGTTACAAACCAAGACGAATGGGCATTTCAATAAAATTACTCTTTCCTCCCGCCTTTCCTCTCGACCGAGTTTCATATCCCTCTCTCTCTCTCTCTCTCTCTCTATATATATATATATATATATATAAACCACTAATTGTTCAATCTCTTATCTATTATCGAGGTAAATAATCCTTAATTGAGTAAATATATCATATAGTGCCAAGATGATCAATCATAATATTTATATTATATATAAAAAAGTAAAACCATTTAATTTATCGCTTTCTCTTGACAAATACAAATGCATCTTTTCCTAAACTAACTTACTTACATTTAAGGCTATAACAGTAAACAAACATTTCTTATTTCATGTCTCAAGTGGGCTTTATTAGGGCTTTTAAACGTCAGAGTTTTTAAAATTTCACGCTCACTGTGTGTGAAATGATAGAAATGCGCACAAGTAAGTTTGAAAAAAAAAAAAAATAAATAAAAGCAAACAAACAAACAAAATGGAGATTGGAAAATTGACGGTTAAATTACTTTTGACTTTATTTATTGTGAAATTACGGGCAAACTGAGTAGGCAAAAAGTAGGCAAAAAGTAGGCAAAAAGTAGGCAAAAAGTAGGCAAAAAGTAGGCAACCAGTATAAAGTAAAAGAAATTTAGCAAGGAAATTATAAAGTAATTCATATGCGCTTCTAGAGGCTTCCATAACGCACTCCACCATCCTGCATATAGCGTATGTATAATGCGATAATGGACAATTTTCCGCGTACTTTTTTCTGCAAATATTCAAAACGCTCAGTTAGATTTGATCGGTGGGGGCAAATACACAAATCGTGCACGGCCCTCGAAAATGTTAAAAGTTCTATTAATTTGTACGTCGCTGCACTCGATGAATGAGACGATTAAAAGATAGAGAGAACCGTGCTTGTCTTTTTAAGCTGCTTGTAAATAATGGCAAATGCATGAAAATGAACATGTGTACAGAACCATTGAAGATGCTCCGATATGACAATTTTACCTTCAAATTGCATTTGCAAAAATGGTCGATCGGGCCGACTCGTCGTCGTTAACGGCATAAGAAAAATTGCACTGACACTACGAGGACCAATCCATGGAAACATCGTCGTCGAAAGCTTCCGTAAACACAGCGACGTGGGAATCGTGTTATGGGGGTGGCCGCGGATGAAGACGGATTGGAAGAGGATGAGAAGGCGGGGGGACGGGGAGGAGGAGTAGGTGACGACGATGTCGGCCACCCTCTCCGGTCATTAATCGCGCTTCGAGTGGGAGAAACGTCCGTACGCGGGTAAGACTCGCGAGTAATCGAATCGAGCAAGGACTGCATAAAAATAAACGCCAACGTCGGCGACGCCTACCTGTCGTCCTGCAGCCTCTTGAGGTCGGCCATCTCGAGCTCGAACTTGAATTTCGAGACGTCGCAGAGAAGCGCGTCCCGTTCGCTGATGACCTCCGTGAGCTCGCGCTGCAGCCTCTCGATCTCCGCGTACTGGTGATTAATCAACTGGTTCTTCTCTTCGATCATCGCGTCCACGTCCTCGAGCTCTCTCTCAACGGTGCTCTGCCGCTGCTGCTGCTGCTGCTGCTGCTGCTGCTGCTGCTGCTGCTGCTGCTGCTGCTGGAGCACCGCACTCATCCTTCTAACCTCGGCGAATGTCCGTTAAAAGAATCGGCGCGCGCGCGCGCGCGCGTATGTGATCGAGTGTGCGAGCGAGTGAGTGAGTGAGTGAGCGAATGCAAGCGGTCCGACAAGGGGACCGAGGGGTTTAACGACGAGAAGGGGTGCGGGGTTTGTGAAGGGAGGGATATGGGGGGGGGGTGAAAGGAGGGGCGGGGGAGATGTTGAGGGAAAGAAGGATCGGCTGCGCGGGGTACGGCGGAGCGCGTAGGGGTTAGGGACGAAGGAGGGAACAATCGGCCGGAGCACGTGTGACGGCTACAGTTTTCGATTATGGCTACGGGAACGGCGACGGGAACGGGGATGGAAAGGCTAACCGAGACCCCAGCAACCCTCGCCACGGCTCATCGCGCTCGCCATTTTATGCGCGCGCGACGCGTCTTCCCTTTTTTATCGGTCGCGCGGTTGGCGCGTGATGTAGGATTATTCCTGGCGGCTCGCCGACGAGGAGGACGAGCACCGAGACAACGACTGCTGTAGCAGCTCTCACGCCCGCGACTGCGGCCCGCGGCGACTCCTTGGCGAGTGCATGTGTCGCGCACACAACGTGCGGGAGCTGCGCCGGCGCGACACCGCCACAGAGGGAGACAAGAAGGACGAGGGCGACACCGGACTCGCGGCGATGGCAGCGGCAGCGGTAGCGGCGGTGGCGGTGGCGGTGGCGGTGGCGGTGGCGGCAGCGGCGGCAGCGGCGGCAGTGGCAGTGGCGGTGGCGGTGGCGGTGACGGTGACGGTGACGGTGACGGTGACGGTGACGGTGACGGTGGCGTCTGCTGATGCTGCTTACTCTTGCTCTCGCCTACGAACTCCGGGGCTTAATCGCTCAGGTTCGCGCGGCTGGCCACCACTGGTCGAGGAACCGGCGACTGAAGTCTTGGCGGGCCGCGCGGGGGCGCGAGTGTCGATCCAGGAACTCAAAGACGCATGCGCCGAACCGTCCACCCGTCCGCCCGTCCTGAAGCTTGTCGAAGTCGTCGGTTAAGTGGTTGCCGGCTCGCGCATTCCGGCTGAGTCGTCGGCGAGGAGGAGGTTTTGTTAGCGGGCCAGGGTGTTCCGGAGCGTATTATGTACAAGGTTCGATGTTAACGCTGTCGGATACAACATTCGTGCGTCGCCGCTCGAGTTTTTACGTCTAAGTTACCGCGGCTAATAATACAAATATCATGGAAAATTATTGCTTCGAGTGCACCAATGCTCTCGGCTTTCTCGTTGACTTTCGAAATCTCGTTTTCGCGAACTTGCGTGCTAAATTAAGGAGTATCCGAGGATTTACGTCGTTTTAGATGTTCAATTAACAAGGCGTAAAGCGAGCTTGGGGATCTCAATTGAAAATTACGTACAAATTTTCACTACGCGCAATAATTTAGCGAATAAATGCTTTATGATACTATATTATATTGTAAAATCATGAAATGACGTTTGTTGTGAAAGTTAATGTTCGCACTCGAAACAGTATTATTCGACAGACGATAAAAGTATATTGAGATTGACGTAATATTTTAATACAAAAAGTATTTTGAGAAGTCCTTTTCTAAATGGCATACTTTTTTTTCTTTTTTTTAACAAAATTTACAAACAAATGATAAAACGAAGGAAGGAAGAAAGACCAGAAATAGGAATATTTTTTCCAAAATATAGAACACCAATGAAACAATCCTTCAAATTTCGGAACAATAAAATTATTAGATTAATTACTGATTACCATGAAATTAATATTAAATGAATTAATATTGAATCAAATTATTAATACCTCGAATTCATTACATATTATAAAATGCAATTTTCTTTCATTCTTTGTTGTTGTCTTTATTTGCAACGTGACATTGATATTTTATGTAACTTAACATTACTTTAAATGCAATAATTTTATTGAAAAGCCTGAAATTGGTTCTTATATAAACGTAATGATGGCTTAAGAACGTTTCACAATCCAGTCAATAATTGAATATTTTTCTTAAAATGAAAAAAAAAAAGTACTAGGATATTATTACATAAGGGTGTATATAAGTAAAAATTATATATTGTCTGTATAGTGTCTGTGATGAAATTGAAAAACTTATCGTGCTGCTTGAAATGCTGTCATTTATCTTTTTTATGGGAAATATGACATACGGTATATTACAAAAATTGAAAAATTAAAACATTTTACAAATTATTATGATTTATAAATGATAGGTAACATTCAATTAATATTTAAATGTAAATGGACGTATGTAAAAAACATTATTATTAATTTAATTTTGCAAATGCTGCTTTTAAAAAAATCTTAATTATAATATTAATCGTACGAATGATATTTTAATGAACCATTTTGAAATCCGACATTAAATAATATATCTTTTTCGAATATAAACATTGGCTTTTAATAATATTATAAAAAAAAAAGAAAAAAAAAAAAAAAAAAACAGTCTTTTCATATTTTCAAGGTACTTTCATACCTTTGAAATGTAGATGTTAACAGAAAATGATAGCGTATCTTGAAAAGTTTTTTAATTTAATTGTTTGCAACTCATCGTTGAAATATCATTGTTCATCTTAAATCAAGATAAATGTATCGATAATATTTTATATAACAATTATAAATTTACCAATTAATGTACATTTATATATTTTCAAAATTTATCTTATAATGATGGTTTTTAATTTTTAAAACATGCTAAAAGACATTATTCTCTTGAATGTCTATATTAAATGTTAATAATACGTAATCGTTTATAAATTCACATAAATTTGTAAATATAAAATCGTATAATATCTTATACATATTTTTCTCTTATTATAAACTAACATCATAAATATGCATGTGAGCTGAATTATTCAATTGCGATTATAAACGTGCAAAATATGGTACAGCCATTTTCTAAACGCGTATCTTATAATTTGGATGATATAAAAACATGAAGTTTCATCTACATTTTTACCACCGTTTCGTTACGTATTCGTATTGAGAAATATATCGATGTATTGTAAAGCGAGCGAAGATTATGAATTGCATAAAATTCTATAATTATTATTTTTATTCTACATTCGCATTTATTTATCCGTATTTCGTAAATATTTTGAAAACATTCGATCAAACAATTTTATTCATATGACTCCACAAGCAAATTTAATGTCAAAAAGTAACAATATTTTCGAACTTGTATCATTATGATAAAATTATGAAAGAATAGTTTTTAAAATAATTTCACTTACAAAATATATAAGCTTTCTAAAGAGAATTACAATTTTTAAACTATAATTTTTAACAACATTAATTTCTTATACAATATAATTAACCTTATTCAAAAATATATATTAAAATATAAAGCCTCGAGATATTAATAATAACAAAATTTAATTTTTAATTTTCTTAAAACCAAGTTTTTTTAAGATTTAAAAATATTTCTACACATATATATTGTATAAAAATTGTAGGTCGAGTTAAAAATATTAATAATGTCTAAGTGTTTTATTTAAAACAAAAACAAAAAAAAAAACAAAAAACAAAAAACAAAAAACAAAAAAAAAACAAAAAACAAAAAACAAAGATAAAATGAAAAATAACGTTGCAAAGAAATATACGCAAATTAAAACATAATTATACGAATTTTAATATATCCAACTCATACGTACCTTCCTATATTATAATCAAATTTTAAGTTTCAAAAGGACAGAAGACAATGGTAAACTTTTAATATTATTTATTTACGTATTGGGCCGATGACGAACAATAATATTCAATGATAATCTACTGGATGCAAAAGATTTCTTTATAAGAATTCTCAGAAACTATAATTGCAAATCCACTTGAAAGACAATTGGCGATTATTGTTACAATACCAACATGAATTGATATCACCTGCATCATTTAATGGCGCTATCATTCATTTAAATCTAATGCACAATTACACCATTAATTTTTCAACATAGTATTGATTAATATATTGCATATCGCGTATCTTCGCCACTAAAAATAACGTAATCTTACATGTTCCTTATGGTTATCAAAGGCGATTGAATAAAGGATTTCAAGAAAACGACAAGTCGACAGATATTAATCATTTACCGACGTTCGACACAACAAGACTTTTTATCTTAAATTTAACATCAATGTAATTTAAAATAATTCATATTTTATCATAATATTAAAGTGTTTTTGTATGCTGTTTTGCGTGTAAAGTCAATCATAATGGTGAATGTTCTCATACTGATTATAATTAAAATTTTATTCATTCGTCAAATCAGCAAAGAAGCTTGTTCATTAATAGTCATAACATTTTCACATCTACGATAGGCGTACATAACATTTGCATTAAATAAAAATATTAAATTATTCACTATTATATATAAGCACGTATATATAAGATTATATTCACTTAGCATTTGAGATACGTTAATTTGTAGTGCTCCTTTCATTGAATATAGAATCATGCTCATTGTGTACAATTATAAAAGTTTCCAAGCAAGTATCCAATGGATATTACAATGGCAATGTCTGCTACATGCTTGAGAGAGACGGATAGAGAGAGAGAGAGAGAGAGAGAGAGAGAGAGAGAGAGAGAGAGCCGAACGCGCTACTTTTTTTTCATATAAACTGAAATATACACTAAAAATAACGAAAAATGTATTTCAAAAAAAAAAAAATAAAAAAAAATATATATATATTTATATATTAATATGTTATAAACTGAAATATACACTAAAAATAACGAAAAATATATTTCAAAAAAAAAAAAAAAAAAAAAAAATATATATATATATATATTTATATATTAATATGTTATGTCTGAACTTGAGATTAGATACTTGGAAAAGATGTCGAAAAAGAAAAATGCAAAAGTACCGAAAGTACTTGAAATTTCTTTGTAAGTTCCGCTTTCGAATAGACATGGCAAATGTATTTGCATAAGAAGCAGTTGACATATAACTGGCAACTTGGAAGTTTGGGAAGCAGAGTCATCGATCGGCATATTTATGAATTAATTTCTCACATCGATAATCGGTATCGCACCGATATTGCAGAGTACTATTC